TCTCTTCGTTGATATCACAGAGAATTTTACTCGCAAATTAATTTATTAGGTCTAAAATTTTCAGGCAAAATATTCATAAATTTGCTCTCAAAAATTAAGACCGTGCCTGGAAATTTGGCAACATTTCATTATCTTCAGATCATTCAGATCATTCAATATCTACTCCATAAGTCTTTATCCCCAGCACGGGTATATTAAAGGGTCAGAAATGATTTAAATGATTGTAATATGCATGCTTCACCTGTCATGTACGCGGTGTAAGATTTTGTTCATTCATTAATGAGAGAAAGACAATTTACAAAGAAATCGCTACAAGTGCTTCAAAGGGATTATTCCCTCCAGAACAAAAAAAACACGACTTACTTTGAACGTGACCAAAATTTTGAGTACATTTTCTTTCCACACGATCCATGTTGCGATCGATCTTCGTCTTTTAAGCACCCTCGAAACCTGCTTACTTGTTAAATTCGAAGTATGAGGATTTTCAAGTCACAATACGACACGACACGTGAGATTATTTAGAATATGCGTACAAAAACAGAAGAGGTACATCGAGAGGACATTTTCTTTTTCGCGGAAAAGAACTCGGCTAGACCGAATTTCTTCTGCGTCGACTCCTCCTAAAAGGCACAGCGACTATATGGAACTACCTTGTTTGAAAGAACAATCGAGGCATGGACAATCGAAACTAGCAACAATGGGGTGGTTATTCCCTTAAAAATGCGGTTTTTCTACTTTCCCTTCATCCTGATTCTTTGATGACGAACGCAGATAAAGGTACCACATGATGACGAACGTAGATACCTGTATCACATCGACGGAACCAGTGCAGAGGCGTGGCGTGAATTGCGATGTATCGATTGTTCTGCCATTTAAACCTATGGTAAAGAATCGATTATTAAGGTGTTCGCTGCGAACACCCTGTTTATCGATCCTTTCCCATAGGTTTAAATGGCCGATCAATCGATATATCGCAAAGTACGCCACGCCACTGTTTTGGTCCCTCTTAGAGCCAACTATTAGTGGTCACGGAGCACTGACATACCCGCCCTATAGTAGCTCAGTCTTTGAAAAAAAAATCTTCAAATTGATAGAGTTACCGAGGACACGATAGACTTACATAAAAAATTCAACAGTCCCTATACCTACGTTAAAAACTTCAGATGTATTTCCTGGTATTTTTTTCGGATTATTTTTTTTTAAAATTGCCTTTATTATTTATTCGTTGAAAAGAAACCTATTTTTCTACGCAATTAGTGTATTGTATTTTAATTGTGTGCATCTATTAACATTAGAAATGACCTGCATCTTTCACTTTAATACTTAAAACTTGAATTTTGTATGAATTTTCGACGTAAAAACATTGAATTTCCGTGAAAATTCCTGAAATTTCACGAGGCTGTGAAATTTATTTCAGGGATGGGCATGCAACCGTAACTAAAAACACCTCCAAATACAGGAGACTTTATTAATTTATTTATTTTTTTTTTTAAATTCGGATATTCATTCCTTTTCTCTCGTGCGGGTGAAATCCAGACGATAAATAGGAGTAAAACTGTGTATCTATGTGTAATATTGGCAGACTTTTTATGAATATCCGTTGTATGGCTAATAATCGACAGTTGGAAACATTGTACTTCATTAAGTTTGGAGATCTACGGACATATATCAAGGGAAATTTCAAAATTTTGAATTTAGCGAGATTTTGCCACACTGAGACGGACATTAGGAGAACTCAATTTAACACTTCATCGTCATACTGTCGCCCTCCAGACATAAGGGCATAACTATACATTTCGCAATAAACCCTGTCGTCCATGCACCTTTCTTTTCCGGGCTCGTCATAATGTGTAGTTACGCCCTTTTGCCAGTCGAGCGACAATATCATACATATGTACGCCCGACCTATCGAAAAAGGTCATAAAAGGTCACGAGTTTCGGATAGCGGCGTACATCAGTTTGTTCATGATAAGCTTATGACAGAGATGATGCCAATTTAAAGCGCGAAAAACCTTTCAAGCCGAAATTTTCGGTCACCTAATTGGACGAGCTTTTTCAAGATCACATTATGCATGATGCGTGCGGCGCACATAATGTGCGGCGCGCATGACATGCTCCGCGCAGGACCACCGTTTCATTCTGACGATAGATGAAACTCACGATTTCTCTTACCGCATTGGCAACCTGGTTCTGTTCCTTATCACCAAGTTCGGCATCACATGAGTTGACGGCGATTTCTGCTAACATTCCCGCACGACTACGATAAGAAAGTTTACACCGATCACTTCAAGTGCTTTTTGAACCAACGTAACGTTGTTATTTGCGCCCAGTAAACCGGTGCCGGCAGTGGGCCAATTTCAAACTTTCGTCTCGGAATTGGGCAAATAACCACCTCTGATAAACGAGGGTACACAGAGGCGGATCCAGCAACTTGACAACACCGGATTCCCTCCATTTAAACCTATGTTAAATGATCGATTCTTGTCGAAGCACCTGGCCCCTCTAAGAATCGATACATTTTCATAGGTTTAAATGGAGAGAAACAATGTTGCCAATTTTCCGGATCCGCCAATGAGGGTGCATCACATTTACTCCTGAAAGGCCTGCGAACGGGGAAACACGGGTATACCTAACTGAAGCAGCGAATGGTACACTTTTTTCTTCATGATAAGAATAGGGGTGACAAATACTTCTCTAGATACCAGACGTAATTTATGGCCGGTCTCATACTTCCAAGGTTAAAATTGAGTGACTTCATTATCCAAAAAGCGGAAGTTGTCCCAATTTAGTAAATAATGAGACCTTGAAGATATAAGCCTTGATAGATATCGATAATTGGTTTCGATAACGGCAATTGAAAACTCGAGCAAGAACACTGTCACCGAACGAGCCCCATCTGCGGCACTCCTATAATGACTCGCTCTTCGTATACTGATTAAACAGTCTTTTTTTATGGGCTACCTGTCGTAAGTTATCACCATAAACCGGCAGCTGTGGATTATTTGCACGGTACCACCTATACTGTCGTGCTAAGGAAGAACGCCGTATGAACCCTCAGACGTTGCCAAGTTCCCTTCGATAAAAACTGAATTTACTCGGGAAATTGTGAATATTTTCCCCCAAAACTTTCAGACAATTTTGTGCGCAATTTAATCTAAGATTTCTGAAAATTTCAACGAAAAATGTGCATGAATGTCGTCAACAATGAATGTTTTATCACGAGGAATTTGGCAACTCTCGAATGTTCATACGGCGTTTTTCCTTAGCACGGCAGTATAGTCATCAGCTGGTGACACGAGTTGAGTTACATATTCATGACTTTCAGTCGTTAACAGCCTCCTGTAGACACCGTATTCATTAAAATAAAAAGAAATGTGGTTGGATCATACTCAGCTGCTGTGAGCATACATGGATTTGTGCCCAGAATAACTGCTGGAGATGAGAAAGGTTTTATTTAACCTTAACTAGGTCTCGGAGTTTTCGATGATGAGGGCTCTTGCTGAATATAATCAATGCCTTTCGATGGTCGTTTGATGTTTCGGGCTGTTTTATAAAACTTTGATGCCATCTAAATGTAAAATTCACAGGGTTGAGCGACCTGGATTCACGATCGCGTGATCCCAACGGCGTTGCCGAAATGTACGGTGATCACGTAATAATTTGGCGTGTAGGAACGTTTTTCATGGATTCGTGGCGGCAAAACACACTATCAATCCAGTTATCATTGAGATAAGATCATGCAGCTAGATTAAAAAACAAAGTACTCGCCGCTTACGGCGGCAAAAAGGTTATCAGCCGAATTAGTCCACCTAATCTCAATAGACGCTTGTAAGTGCCGATTCCGGGGGTGAACAAACGGCCTTAAATAATAATTTTACATTCTTTATATAAAGGTAGTTTATATCAATAATTTTTTTCTGTAAAGGCATTTAAGAGGTATCGACCGTGAAACTACCAAGCCACGAATTTTTGGGGGATGTATAAAATTGTTTACTCATTCTTTTTTTCAAAAAAGTAAATACTGCTAGATCTTTGAATGCGAAGTTGTTGGAAAAGACTGTTGAAAAAACGGGAAAACGATCAAATGAAAAAATGTGCCAAAACTAAACACCGTTCCTTGGTAGAAAATTAATGTGCGGCGTGAGATTTGCAACGTCGCAAACGGAGATACGTGGTTTGATACTTTCACCACCGATGGGGACGTGTAAAACACACCCTCCAATTCCACCCTCCCTCTTCCAGGGTAACGCACCCATGTCGCGGATTAGGGCCCGGACCCTCCGTTATGAATTACGTAACGCTTGGCAATACCCTACCCTAATTTTCATTGCTTCGGGGTGGAAAGGTGTGGCTTAAAAATACCTCTCTGTCCTAAAAAAAGGTTCCAATTATGGAAAAAGTTGACCGTTACGTAACCCTTCGCTTTGGTTGCTCGTAGAGCTCAACATTGCGAAGATCAAGGCACCGCCCTTGAAAACAAAAGGCAAGTTTGCACTTAAAGTTTAGCCCTTGCTTCAAACTAAAATTTTTGAAGTAAAATGATTTTTTTGTTAACGGAAACTATGCATTTTTTAGATTTGAGTATTATTTAAGCGTACTGCAACGGAACATGAAATATCTTTTACGATATCGCCCTTTTTAACTTGCTTGAAAAGTAAGTGGTAAAACCTTTCAGAATACCTTCTTGGTAGGATCCATCTCATTTCCTCGCACATGCCTCATCGTTATCCCACTAAGTACCTATTCGATTCAATTCCGCATGTCTGAAGTATATCGCACCTTGAAAAATATGCTGTGCCCATTCATGTACCTTTGGTACCTACAGGCAGGACAAAAGGACGCGTGATGCTTTTGCCGACTCCTTGAGCTTTTCCGACAAGAAATTAGCGAGATTGATCTGAGATTAATTTTTCAAATAGGTGACCTCATTTTAGTCTTGGCGCGCAGTAGCGGGTGAGAAGTAAAGCGGTGAAAAATGAAGATAGGCGAGAGGTTCTTACTTGTCTTGAAGCCGACATTCTTGGGTTCCTTGTAGAAGACCTCGTCTTCGGAGGACTCTGAGTCCTTTCGGGCCCTCTCGGTGACGAGACTGGTAGGAGCCATGGTGCTTCTTCCTGGGATGATCGATACGAATTCCTTCTTCCGGGCAGGTACAGCGAGAGTAGCGGGGACAGGCGAAGAACGGGAAACGAAAAACTTCAGAAAAAGCGATTCCGAAATGCGGAGAGGGTAGGGGGAGAAAACTCAAAAACTGGCGGGGCTAAACGAAAAGCTTGCGTACCAAACAGGTGAGGGTAGCGGAAGGATGGAGCGAGCTCAAGCAAGTCTCATCCCTCGATTACTAAATACTGCTTTCTGAGAAGTGATCGGAAGATGTGTGCCTGATGAACGATTGTAAATCTGCCCTCATTCCAAACCTTCTGAGGATTTTATCTAACGACTTAGCCAGGGTGGCGATCGGGGGACACTACACGGGGGAAAAAGATCCAAGTTCAGCACTTGTGTCACACTCGCGGGAACAAAAGACGCGACGCTGATTCGGGGCTCCGACTGCAGCTCGACTGACAGCGAGATAGAAAACTAGACCTAAAAATAAAATGTCTTTTATTTGTTGCACTAGGAAGGTATTTTCGTCGCACCGCGGGGCACGCTCGGGTCACGGCTCATTCGGCCAGCTCTCGCAACGGCAATGACACTTCTCCTTTCGAACGCAACTGCAATCGCAACGAAACCCGCAAGGGCGAGTGCTCTCTCATTTTAAAAGCTCGAGAACCGCGGATACGGATGCGAAGACGCGAAAGCAGGGCATGAACCAAAACTGAAAGCTCTAGGAGAATTGAATTGGACCGACACGGACTCTGGAGGACTAATGAGTTTCGGCTGTCGACACAGACTGCTTATAACAACAGCTCTCTCCACTCTCTGCAACGCCGTTTATCGATTCGCGATAACGCCTTCCCGCCACCCCCCGCGCCCACCCCACCACGGTCGCGACCTGCCATGCTGCCGCCAGCCCGCGGACCTCGCGTTCGGTGCGTAGTGTTTACCATGCCCATGCTTCTCCAGCGCATTCAACCAAGTCCTCGTGCCATTACCACCATAATTCGGTTGCATCTTCCACTTCCAGTCCTCAAGTCTGGAGCGAGTCTGCCCGACACGGCCGGTGCTGCCGCTGCCTCCTTGTTTTTATCGAATTACACGCCTGTCGCCGGATTAAAATCCCACACCGTCGCAAAAGCCAAAACCTCGGCGCAATTGTAATTTTAAGCCATCCGAGCGGATGGAATAGCCTTGAAACTTCGGTTTTGAAGGGTGAATTGCGCTGTTATCGATTACGCTTCTCGAAAAGTACCTAAGGAATCGCCCGATTCGAAAAAAGGACCTGACCTACTTTCGGGACGAGTTTGAGTTGGCGCCAAAATTGCATCTACGCAGCGGACCCTTTGCACGCCGTTCGATCTAGAATCTACCGCGAAGAGGCGGTATCGATTTTGGAATGTTAATATTCGGCTCCAGAATATTCTGAGAAACTTTAGGCGGATGTTTTGACTCGTGGCGGAGTTCGGAGGATATGCATGCGCATGGGTTTAATCAAAATTCCTTTCTGTTTCAGAATGTTGTTGTTCTGAGGGGGAATTTCGAGTTCAGCAGAAGGGGAGGAGAAACCGCGAGTTAACTGCGCAGCGCAAAGTTGGAAGCATGTGCATAACTGCATACCCCGTTGCATCTCGGTGGTCCAGAATGACGTAATTGTGTCACACAATGGCGCAGTTTCGATTCAAAGGTCGGCCTGAGAACCGCTGACAATCATTACGTCGATTGACGTCAGTAAAAACTCTTGAAGGGATATGTTGTAAAATCTCACGGGTGTCCGGAATCAAGAACTATTGCTGCGCAGGGTGAGAAATTAATTTTATTTAATTCAACTGTTGTCAAAAGATAGCTAGTACTGAAAAGCAAGGACGACCGTCGAATTTAAAGGGGGAAAATGTAATGAAAATTAGTTAAAAGAAAAAACCTTTTTCCTTAAATTTTCTAAAAAAACAACACTTTTCGTTAAACTAAATAAACATTTTATCAGGAGTTCGAAAAAAATTAAATGATTTTACAGCGTTCTTATGAATTAGGCATGAGGCATAGCAGTACTGTTGTCTTTGGGGAAAACTTAAAATAAAGGTTCAAATAGAGCCGCCTCGGCAAAAAAGGCTGCAGTAAATGAATGTCGCATACTGATTTATTACCTTGCGTTTATCAACTTTTCTATTATTCTCTGTTTAAAGTCTGGCTGCATCCTACATTCTATTCTCACTTTTTATAAACGCGGTCAGTAAAATAAATACGCTATGATTGTTTTCCCCTCCCTGTAACAAAAACTAGTCCGACATAGCGTCTAACAACGCAGTGATTAAAAGCATTAACGCTAGTAACGAAAAATATAACTATTCGTACACGGGGGATGGTGTTTTGCATACACGGCCGATTGAAGGCGTTTTCGAGATTTCGGGTACTCCTCTAATTCTAATTTCTTTTATAGTATTAATTGAGACTATCAGGAGATTAATTCGACCCTAATCTGTAAGAGTCCGACTTATGTCTAATATAATCTCAGGTCATTTATTAAAGATTCTCTTAGAAAACTGTGGGTTTTATATATTTTTGCAGTTGATTTTATTTCTTTTTGAGTTTTTTGTCTGCTTTATTCAAACTTTTGTATTCTCTGTTTTATTAACTCTTTATTCTAGTGAAATTTAAACTGAATTTAATACTAGCCTATCCCACCAAACTTTATTTTATTTAGTCCAAAACTTTAGTAAAATTTCTACTCCTGCATAGTTAGAGGCAATGCTTTGAAAAGTTCCTAACTTCCCGGCGAAGCGAAGCGTATCACGGAGACTTGAAGGCACCCAAGCCGAGGTGGAAATCAGCGCCGTGAGTTGGGTCACGCAACTAAACTAACTTCCTGGCGAAGCGAAGCGTATCACGGAGACTTGAAGGCGCCCAAGCCGAGGTGGAAATCAGCGCCGTGAGTTGGGTCACGCAACTAAACTAACTTCCTGGCGAAGCGAAGCGTATCACGGAGACTTGAAGGCGCCCAAGCCGAGGTGGAAATTAGCGCCATGAGTTGGGTCACGCAACTAAACTAACTTCCTGGCGAAGCGAAGCGTATCACGGAGACTTGGAGGCACCCAAGCCGAGGTGGAAATCAGCGCCGTGAGTTGGGTCACGCAACTAAACTAACTTCCCGGCGAAGCGGACTTTTCATCTCTGCGTGTTTCTCGTTCAGTACTTTTATGATTTTCTTGATATTAGTTGTGTCAATCATACCCTCATCGACATTTTCAGTGTAAAACCAATTTGTAATTTCCCTTTTCGCAATGTCTATTTAGCGCTCCATTAATACACGAAAGTTTGGGGGGCGTATCGGGAAGACGAGGAGCTCCATATATTGATAATTGCGTTGAGGGCATTTTACCAATTGGTGAAAATGTGTAGTTACGACTGATCGGTGATGAAAATATTTGATTCGACGGCGCATAATAAATAAATCATTAGCGGCACCGTAAAATGTATCATTAAAAGGGAAGGAGATGTTAGAATGTTAGTTGAGGTTAGAGCAAAAGAGGTGCAGTTAGAATCATCAAATGTTTGTATTCTGGAAGTCTACTATCTATCGAGAATATCGCATCTGGACTTCTTTGAGTTTTTTCCCCATCGTTTTTGATAAATTTCGAGGAGAGAGGAGGGATTAGCTTCACATGTTTATGAACTGAAACCTTCAGGCTATAATCGGGCGCGCGGGATCAAAGATGTAATCTCACAAACGGGTTTGGATTCAAAATACGATGCGGCTTAACAACTTGTTTATTCAATATTTTATTTATTTTTGTTGAAGACCTATTTAGTGCTATAGGACCTTGTAGACTTGCATTATGAATCCGGAGGATGTAAAACGTAGAGTCGGGTTTAGTAGCAAAAAATTCCTAGGTGCACAACGTACGAGTGCCTAAAACTTTCTCCTATCCTCCTGAAATAATAATTTCTTTGATCAAACGATCGAGATTCGTCCATTTACATAATCTGTTTGTTTTGCGTCTGAAAAGGAAGGTTAGCATTTTTTCGAGACGTCCGCATGAGGCGATTGCCGTATCATTTTGTTGCGGAATCCGGAAAAAACTTCACCTTTTTGACCATTTACCATTTACCATTTTTTTTGGAGTGTCATATTTTCCAAAACACGAAATTTTTCTACGAAATACATCGTATGCGTTCGAGGATCCGTGGGAACTTCTAAATGTTGACCAAATGCAAAATCGTTCGACAACGTTTGTTTTTACATAAATTGGAATATTTTGGCTTTGTTCCGCTGGAAAAAAGTCGCTTGGATCTAGAGTCCAGCCTCTTGAAAACATTGACAAGAAAAAAATACTCTTGATTCAATCCGATTTCTTGAATCGAAGAGCCAAGCCTCTTGATTTAGGTGGATTTCCTTTTGATACGAGCAAAAAGTCCGATTGAATCAAGAGTATATTTTTTTCTTGTTAATGTTTTTAAGAGTCTGGACTCTAGATCCAAGCGACTTTTGTGTAACTTTTGAAATTCAACAATTTCAGTCATAGAAATAAGCCGCGCCAAAATGAAGGGCAGAGAAACACGGATCGACGATTCAGCGTTGGTAAAAAAGAAGTAATTCGGAAAAGTTGGGCTCGGCGCTCTCCACCAGCGTCGCATCGCGTCACATTAAATCGATCTTCTACGTCTTAAGAAACGTCACCAAAGGACGTTGGGCTGTGGTCATTGTAACGACTCCTGCTGGCGACTCCGAAACTCTGTCAACTCATGACCGCGGGGCAACATCATCATCATCATCATATCATTTCATCATTGACCGAGACCCGAGACGTAGTTCACGGTGCTCAAACTTGATTCCTCCGGTTGCCAACTTTAGCGTCGCATGGTGGATCGAGTCAATAGGGGAAGTCGGACAAAATCTTGAAACTTCGAAAGCTTGTATTCTCGAAAATATGAAACAAAAAAGTTTAAGGGTGGTTCCAGTGCAGGGTGTCTAGCATCAGGAAAAACCGGAAAAACTGGAAAATATCGGGAATTTTGGCCGATCAGGAAAAAATCAGGAAAATATCGGGAAAATCGGACGTTTTATCAGGAATTTGTCTCACATTGCCAGAGAATTTAGTTTCCGCATGCAATTATGCAATAAATGTAGTTTTTACGAGAAAAGTCAGGGATATATCAGGAATTTTCAAAATGAAAAAATCAGGAATTTTTTATAAGATATCAGGAAAAATCAGGAAAATATCAGGATTTTTCAAAATTAAAAAATACTAGACACCCTGCAGTGGTTTTTGCGTGAAATTTTCTTGCAGAGACACTCCTTTAGATTGAATTTGTGACGAAATAAACATGAAAATTTGAAATTTAAGCCAGAAATTCCATGTCCAACCGCATCTACTGTGCGTCATCCGTTCGGGGAGGTATTGATCGTGAGCAAATGGATGCCTTGCCTCGAAAATTGCTCGCATCGCAGAAAAAATTTAAATTTCGTTGTATTGTAGCACTGCCGTTATAAGAGCCTCTTACGCTTTTAGCCCCAATTTTTATTAAAAAAATAACCATACCGAAAGATTTGTTATGATTACAGTTTCCTCTAAATAAAAATGGTTATCAATCTATATTGAAGCATCTATCCATTAACCTCTTTATTTCTTTGAATCCACCCCATAACTGTAAAACTGTAGGTGTTCATGATTGATGAGAAAGATGATAAAAATGGCTCTCTTTAAAAGGCGATTCCGGCTATTTTTAAAAGTGATAATTTTCTTAATGTGTAAGTGCTGTTGATTCATTTTGAATTGTTCTGAAAAAAGCATATAATTTGACCTAAATCTGAGAGG